GGCAACAATGTCGGGCGACAATGAATTCAGGCGATTGACACATTGCCATGAATACACTTGATAACTGCTTGCAGACTTCCAGTGGTCATTGTTTATGTTTGGACTCTTGAAACAATAGCAAAATAAAGGGTTGGGCAACTACTCTTTTGTTTAGGCTTGGGAAGAACAATGCAAGCTTTTTACAAATAATTTCAGCTGGATGTACGTTGGTGGGCGGGCGTTGAGAGTTACTAGGCGGTCGTAAAACTTGATGGGCGGGCCGCCCACCTAAAACCCCTTGTGGAGAACACTGGATGCTTTTGATTGGCCAAAGCCATGCATTGACACGAAAAACAACCAATCAGAATATTTGTTCCAAGAAGAACACAAGTAAATTTATTTCCTCCACTTATGATGCGAGTTGAAAGCATGGCAGTTTCACCGGGGTTTTTAAATAGTGATTTAAAGAAAATTAAACTTTAAATAGTGACATTCGTCAAAATATAAACATTTATATGTTCAAGCAAGCATTCGTGTGGATTTCTTGGTGATCAGCAATGTATGTGATGGTACGTCGGCTGCGCTGGTTGTTTACCGATCATGCCTAGCTGCCTTTGTTCCGCTCGGCGGTGACGATGTTGCCGCTACAAGTAACGGCGTGAACTTGGTTTTAACCTTAGATCTTATGTTTTAACGAATGATTTTACTGATAACGATTTTATATATTTGACGTCACCCTGGCAGTAAAAATATGAGTACGGTAATGCACTTTTCTAGGCCACATTCATTTTTAATCGTATTGAAAAAACTTGTAACTTTTTGTTCGGTGGTGTTATCACCTCACGGTTACCTGCTACGAAAACAAACCGGAATTTTCACAGTTGCACCTTAAAACAATGAACCAGTTTCCCTGAGAACGATGAATCATCTTCGGAAGACAATGAGTGTTGGATTGTTTTGTAAACAATTCTTTGTCTGGGAACAGGGCGCACAGGAAATATAACAGGGCGCTGACAATTTAAACAGGGCACGGCGCCCTGTTAAAACCCCTCGTGGAGAACCTTGATGGCAGCCTAATTGAATATTAATTAGCATTTAATTTGCATAATGAATTCATAGTGACTGCTATTTACAAACCTAGGTCTATTTTTAGCTGCATTTCAGTTGGTGGTTCAGAATCGGTCGGCACATTGATGAGCGTGTAACACGCATTCTCTGAAGCGGTCATGTTGACACCTTTCTGAAAAAAATTATGTTAGAAATAAGGTAATAACTAATGCTGGCAAGTCTAAAAAAAGACTGTGTATAGGTATGAATTTATATTTTATTTTTTATGTACTTGTAGGTTTGGTAAGAACACAATCATGGTTTAACTACGAATGAAAAAAATGACTACCGGTAGGTTAGTTTTCAGGATGTATTTCCTATTGGTGATAGTTACTCACTACATATACAAGGAAGAACATGAAATAAAAAAGCAAATGCAGCATTGGTGGAATGACCGTTGCTATTTTGCTTACCATATAAGAAATTTTCAGCCATTTGCATAAATAAACTTTTCGATCCCCCCCAAAAAAACAAAAACAAAACAACAACATAGAATTGAATTTATTTTGTCCTAAACAACAGGTAAAGCTCAGGGCTATGTACAAATTACATACTGGGCATGTGCTGAGGAAATGGATCCAGTCTAGGATTTTAGGTGCAAGTATGTCCTATTTATTGTTCAAGATGGGTGTAAAAATTGGATTGTTTGTCTCAAGCTAAGAGGGTACATAGTGTATTATACATGTCACAGAGCCAGTCTAGAACCTAGTCTAGATTGATTTAAATATTACTTTATTATTATTTTATACAATTTTTCGTAAAGATTTATAAGATAAGGGTATGCAACAGATGTGATATGCAATAAATATCTTGCACAAATTCATGTGATTTGCAAGATGATCAGAAAATCATAAGACAAGCCTAAATTTCCAGAAATACAATGCAAATGAATGGGTCTGTCAAAGAAATGGTTAGTATTTGTCTTAACCATATTTCCTAGAGTCCTTACTGATTCTCGATTACAATCATAATCCCTGCTCACTGATGAACTGTTTCAATCGTTTACTGTGTTCTGTGACACTATAGGTTAGAAATGAGTTGCTTTCCATTTCAACTAAACTGTATAATGAAAGTAATAACGTCAAATATTCTGAAAGCCAAATAAATCGAACGATTCAGTTATTTACTGTTTCGACTGATGAAGTGTTCTACTAAGAACCCGGAACAGCACCATCACACAAGTGAATGGTCCAATTACAGATCAATTTGAGTGCTTTATCGCCATAGGCTTTCTTCGTACTCAGTTTCATATTCTAATATTGTTTCCGTGTTTACTTGTATCAGGATCACACCTCAATAATTTTAAAACGAAATAATACATCTGTTACGTATTTAGTTAGCTAAGGCAATACTGCCCTCAGTCGGTGAAATGTTCGTCAATCGACCACCCCCCTCGATATTAAAAATTTCAGTTGTCTGTCCATTGGACAGGTTAGTGAATAAAAGGACCTGTCCTTAGCAAGATATAAGACATATTATTCAATGTTAAATAATGGCTGATCATCATTTCATAAGTTTAACAAATTCTGA